AAATATTTAAAGTAATTAAACATTAAAGTTTTAACAGTTTTACCGTAATAATTATATAAATTTATGATATAATAATAAGATTACATTAAGAAAATTACAGCTGTCAATGTTAATTACTCGGTTTAGTTAATTAAGATATTTTCAAGTCATTATTAGGTGTGGGACATTCTAATTTGTAAAACCTGCTAAAATGAGAATGCGCGTGATTAACACACTCTATTTTTTTAAGTTTGAATATTTGTTTTTCTTGTGTACAAACTATTAATTTGATAGTAGAATTAATACTGAATTCGTTCAAAAAAAAAAAAAAGCAACCAAGTGTTTTTTACTTGACATACTTTCCTATTTTATAAAATGTAGAATAATAGATTACTTGAATTGAATTAAGAAATAAGATGCTAATTTAGAGGAAGTGACAAAATAGGAAATCTTTCTACTTACCTTTCCTTGTAACTTTTTCTACATTTAACTTGAAAGTCTTCCCTAAACAAGGATAAAAAAAAAATTTAGATAATTTATTAGATTCTTTTATTTCCAAGTGTTTAATGATCAACTCAATGCATTTAATTTAAAAAGTTTATACTACTTATTTTATTTACACATGTTTAAAGATTCATCTAATCTTTTATTTTAGTGGAACAACGAAGATCTCTTTTATAAATATTTTGACAATCAAATCAGTGATGACAATAAAAGAATAATGATAATGTTTACAGGGATTACTTTGTTTTCATTTGATTGAATATTTATAAAGATTTAATTATTAAGAGATATGACAGTTCGTAAGTAATTCTCAATAATTTAAATAATTTATTATCAGTCAACAATATATCTCGAAGATATTTGACTTAATATGACGTTACAATATCATGGAGCATCCTATATTTAGCGAGTCAATTAGCATGACTGGTAAATTTTTTCTTGTGTTTTTTTTTTTTTTTGATAGCTTATAAGGATATATATGGATTAATTAATAAACCTGGAGATTCAAGTTTTGCCAGACTAGAGCACATCTTTCACAAGATTTGCCTAGGAGGTGGTAATCGCAGGTTATCTGGGAGTACATGAGCATGCATCGACTCATGCATCTTCATATTTCAACATACACTAATTCATAAATGTCTTTGAACTACAATCATATGCATACCTCTTATTTTTATAATTTTTTAGTCTTTTATGATATTATGTTTTTTATGAAAAAAGAAAAAATTAAATTTCTAAAAGCATAAACTCTTGAACTTTGAATTTATTTTAATATATTGTAACAATTGAATCTTGAGCATCCATGAGTTAATAATTTGGACGACGTTGTAATTGTCAAAATATATAATAATAGAAAAAGAGCATATGATGCTTATATATTTGTAATAAACAATGAAGTCAACAAAATTCAAAAGTGGTATCAACAAGAGCATGATACTCATATTTTATACTAAAACAAGCTATGAGAATTTATTTCTTATATAAGAAATGTTGATAACATTATAGTAATGGAGTTAAAAGATTATGAACAAACGCTGAGGTAGTATTACTAATGTAGACTTTGATATTAGAAAAATAAATGTAAAAAATAGTAGAGTCATCAAACATTGAGAGAAATATCATAACATATTTAAAGATAAAGTGAACTAAAATAATAATGTAACGTATCTTGGTACGTCTACTGATAGTTATATTTCTATTGACAATAAATGACTAATGTAAAACTGAAGATATCATTATTAGTAAACGCGTGCATAAATAAATATAAAATTCAATTTACAAAAGTAAATAATGACAGTCGTCGACAAGAAAAGCTCTTCATCCAATAACAAAGTAGAAAAAGATTTTTGAAGAAATAGTGCATTGAGATCAAAACCTCTATTTGAGGAAAGTTTTAGGCATGCCGATGAGAAATGAAAATGCTAAAGGAGAAAAAAAAAAAATCAAAAGTCTTGAAAAAATTAACTTTAGTCTGACACCATATTAATTTGATATAAATTGTACTTCTTAACAACATGGAACTCCTATTTACATATGCACATGATAATTTATATAAAAAATAATACATTACAAAAAATTATAAAAGATGTACATTATATTAATGTTTATTGAAAAAAAGTTAAAGAAATTATCAATTATTATTAATTAAAGAGTTTAGTTTCAATTATTTATCTATTTAAAATACTGTTAAATTTTTTTTCTTAAAAAAAAAAAAAAAAAACACCAAAAATTAATTATGAACGACTCCAAATTACTAGTCTTGAATGAATAAATAAATGACTGACTGCTGTTGATTCCAGATAGGTGTGAGACGTGAAATATCATTATCTCACCGTCACAAGTGTTTATGAAATGAATCGATACTTGAATATATAAACATAATCAGAAATAATCAGGTTGGTTGGCTCTTTCACAATATTACCCCAACAAATCCGAGACTTGAATTTCCCATGTCAAGCCACTGTATCAGCGTTAACAAAATTAAGCATGCTGTTTAGCCAATCATTAGCAGTAAACTCACCCACTAATCCATTCATTATCAAAGATTATTAATTTATTTTTGTTGAAAAAAAAAAAAAAACCGCCATGTTTTACACCTGGCATGCAAACAAAGAAACATTTCTTTTCTCCCCCAATTTCGTGACTTCATTATCTCTTTTCCCTTTTTTGTTTTTGCCTTTTTTTTTTTTTTTTTTTTTTTAAGCTCTTCTTTTACTAGTTACAGAGCTTCTCTTTGAATCCAAGTTACTCTCATATCTACTTCACATCTCTACAACTCATGGGATTTGCTTTCATGGGTGGTTGCTAAATCTTGGTTTCTTCTCATTTAGCATTTCTTTTATAATCTCTTCTTAACCATTTTGCAGTTGATGATTATCCTACCTAAATGCTTTCCATTGTTTGTTTTTATCAATTTTCTTTCAAAAAACCCACAACTCGAACATAGCAGATTTTTTTTCCTTTTTTTCTTTTTGGCTTTTGGTCTTGCGGTGCTGGGTTAATGAGTTCTTCGGGTGTTGTGGATTTGGTGAGTAAAACTGAAATCTTGCGAAGAAATGAGATCATATACCTTGTTGCTGCTGCTCTTTCTTGTTAGCGGACTTCATTTTGGAGCCAGTAATTCCTTTGCACCGATTGAAGGTACGTACATGAGATCATGTACTTCCTTTGATTCTCAGATCTCGTTTCTTGGTTGCTCTTTTATTCCCTGTTTGGTTGCTGTGAGAAAATGCAGGAAAGGACAAGAAACTGGGTTTCATTTTCTTTGATGTACATGCCTAGTAGATATAATCTTGACATCGATAATGGGTTTCATTTTTCTGCCCTTTCAAATCTCTCAGTAACCACCCACATATTAGTCTTCGTTAAAGAATAGCATGGTCAAATTCCATTTTACAAATTTCTGAAGCTTGGGTACTCTTTGGAAAATGCGTTTTTGTTTCTGGACATGATTTTTACAGTAACTTACTAGATAAGTAGATGAGTACCACTAAACTTTTTGGGCTGATGGAGAATTATGGATTTTGCTTAGTTGGGGCACTTATTAGATTCAAGGAAGCTGTATATGAAGATCCGCTTCTGGTTATGTCGAATTGGAACACCGTAGATGCAGATCCCTGTGGTTGGACCGGCATTTATTGTTCTCCGGATAGAGATCATGTTATAAAGTTGTAAGAGCGTGATTTGTTATTTGTGCTAGCTATGAGTCTCACCAGATTCTAATAGGTGTAGAAATGTATAAGAAACAATGTTCCAGGAGGGGCTAGGGCTTAACAAATTTGTTTTGCTATTTGTTTTTTCTGCAGAAACATTTCTGGGTCATCCTTAAAAGGGTTCCTTGCACCAGAATTGGGTGAACTCATATACTTACAAGAGCTGTATGCTTTCTCTTTTTTCAGTTCTGACTAGACTAAAATAACTATTTCGAGTTTTAAGTGGCCTGCTTCCTCTCTCCACAATTTGGTAACTGAAGCTGCATTTCATGTGCTGTTGTTTTTAGAATTTTGCGTGAGAACAATCTCATTGGGATAATACCTAAAGAGCTTGGCATGCTGAAGAATCTCAAGGCATTGGATTTGGGGCACAATCAATTAACAGGACTTATCCCTCCGGAACTTGGGAATTTAACCAATGTGACGTCTATGTAATGAAATTTTAGTATTTAATTCAAGAAATCGACTTTTATGTTTGGCACTTTGTGTGTTTCTCTTAGTTTGATGTTGCCATTGTAGAAACCTTCAATCCAATGGTTTGACTGGAAGACTGCCACCAGAGCTTGGCAATTTGAAGAACCTCAGGGAACTCCATCTTGATCGTAATAGACTTCAAGGAAGTTTACCTGTTGCAAGCAGTGCAGATTTTCCTTCGAATATGCGTGGAATGTAAGTGGAAGATTCTTCCTTTGGAACTGGTGGATAAGGTTGTACTTTGAGTTTCAACAGCTTGTACTTACAAACGTATGAAGTGTTCATTTTAGAAACTACCACCATTGTAAACACTTCTTGAAGTTTTTAGAGTGCCTATAATTTGGAATATCGAGTATGTTTGTAACTATAGATTGGCATCCATGAAATTATTTATCCTTTTAGATCGAATGCATGGATTATAAGCGTATTGGTAATGGAAAGAAATCTGATCGATTATAGAACCCTAGGGTGCATGTAAATTTGGAGGAAGGTTGAGTGTGGTCCTATTGTAGATTGATAGCTTTCATTATTTATCCCTTTTTTTTTTTTGTTGTTAGGGGAACTGCCTAATACAGGGGTTGAAACTTCGCTTCCCCTGTGGGAGGCCAGTAGTAGGCCAATAGGTTAGTTCATAATTATCCTTTTAAAATTGAATGAAAGGATTAGAACAAACAATCATCAAGGATGGACAGAATCTGACAGACTACAGATATCCTAGAAGTTAATTCTTGGGGTTAAGAAAAAGCTATCAGTAATCAATTATCAAATTATTCTCACGACTGACTACGGCAACTTTTCTTGTTCGGGGTGTTATTATAGTGTGCAAAGAAAAGTGTTATCCTTTATTCATTTATAGGATACAATAAGATGCATAGGTGCTATAAGCATAAGCACCAATATATTCTTTAGTATGGATAATTAAATGCATGGTGAACCTAGATAATTTTAGTCTTCCTGAATTGGTTCCTTTTGGGTCATTTCCGCTGCAGGTATGCTTCTGCAAATGTAACTGGCTTGTGCAAGTCATCTCAGTTAAGGATGGCTGATTTCTCATACAACTTCTTTGTTGGGAGCATACCCAAGTGCTTGGGGTACCTTCCAAGGTATTCTTTGTGCCTTTGACCTGCCACATATTATTTGCGCCTTAAGCTTACTTTTTGGTGTCAAATTTTCTGAATATAGCACAAGCTTTCAAGGTAACTGTCTTGACAACAAAGATCCTAGACAGCGGCCTGCAGCACAGTGTGGTATGTTTGACTTTACGTTTTTTTTTTCTTTTCATACAAGAAGAAATATTATTAGAAAGAACGGGAAAAATAGTACAAGACAAGATAATATATTCCCCTCCAAAAGCATGAAAGAAGAACGAAAAAGGATGAAAATAGTCTGTACAAGTGAGTAGTCTCCATTTACCAAGTAGCTAAAGAAAGCCCCTCAAAGAAGCGATCAGACTTAACCGAAATCGAAGACAAAAGACGCTCTCATCCAAGGAAACCATCTTTGAAATTCTAGTATTCCTTTCCAACCATAAGACCTGCAATCTGGCAATTTTGACTTTGCTTTTCCTTCTGGAATTTATTGATTGTGAAGTAATCAGAGAGGATAAGTCACAGCCATGGACGTTTTACAGACTCATCATGTGAATGAAGATCAACTGAATTACATGTGTGTATAGTTTGTGTACTTCAGACTAAACTGTTCAGACTGAAATATTATCATGGTAGTAAGAAGTTAAAGCTTGACCATTTGATATTGAAATGCTGTCCTGAATCCATAAATCTTGTTCTTTAAATGTGAATATCATCTGCATACTACAGTTTATCATCTCGGTGCACCTTCTATTTATTCTGATATTGATGTTACCAGTTACTGATCTTTTTGTAGGTGGTGCTCCTCCTACCAAAAGCCATCAAGCTCCTACCTCTAAGCATCAGCCTACTGAAAATGTATCCAAACATCAGGAAACATCAAAACCTACCTGGCTTTTGGCTCTTGAGATAGTGACGGGAACCATGGTGGGTTCTCTCTTTATCGTAGCTCTACTCACTGCATATCAGAGATGCAATAACAAATCCTCTCTCATTATTCCCTGGAAAAAGTCAGCAAGTGAAAAGGACCAAATTGCAATATACATAGGTTAGGTTCCTTACTCTGAAATTTCAAATCATTGTAATGATAGAATACTTTACCAGTGTCTGTTTCAGAAAAAAATTGCTAATTTGGTATGCTTATAGATTCTGAGATGTTGAAAGATGTAACGAGATTCAGCAGACAAGAGCTTGAAGTGGCTTGTGAAGACTTCAGCAACATTATTGGGTCCTCTCCAGACAGTGTGGTCTACAAAGGTACAATGAAAGGTGGGCCTGAGATTGCTGTCATATCTCTCTGCATCAAAGAAGAGCACTGGACAGGTTTTCTTGAGGTTTATTTTCAGAGAGAGGTATTATAAAGAATTCTAGCGAGAAGTACTCTCTTTCCCTTTTTTTTTTTCCCTGAAAACATATGGATTCAGAATGCAAGCGGACAAAATTGATATTTATCTGTGTTCCAAAGTTCTCAGTCAAGTTGCCTTCAGGTTGCAGATTTGGCAAGATTGAATCATGAGAATACAGGGAAGTTACTAGGCTATTGCAAAGAGAGCTCTCCTTTCACAAGGATGCTTGTTTTTGAATATGCATCAAATGGTACACTTTATGAACACCTCCATTGTAAGTAACTTCGCTTCTCTCAATGTGAGTGTTCCTTAATTTGTGCTTAGCTCATGCCTGAATTGTCAAATCACTGCAGATGGGGAAGTGTGCCAATTATCATGGACACAACGCATGAAGATTGTTATAGGAATTGCTCAGGGACTCAAATATCTACACACTGAACTTGATCCACCATTTACTATATCTGAGTTGAATTCTAATGCTGTATATCTTACTGAAGACTTTTCACCGAAGGTATCCCTGTTGCCATATCTCAAATAAAAACACGTTAAAATCATGGAGACAATCAGACAAATATGTCAACTTGGCCAGTGGTATGGTTTTCTACCACCAAAATGCTAGAAAAACTATTTTCCACTAGAAGTGGAAAAAAATTCAATATTCACTTAGAGTTATATGTTGGTTAGACTTCATGAAGGGGGTCGATGTTTCTTATTTGTCAGCATTTTTTTTTTCTTTGGAAATTCACGTATCAAGAGCTAGGATTTAGAACCCTGTCGAAAAATATTACCATGTTCTAAGAGCATTATTTTGGCTTCTCTGCTGCAGCTAGTTGATTTTGAAAGTTGGAAGACAATTCTTGCAAGAGCAGAGAAGAACTCTGGCTCTATTAGTAGCCAAGGAGCCATTTGCATACTACCAAATGCACTGGAGGGTCGACATCTTGATGTGCAAGGAAATATATATGCTTTTGGTATACTTCTGCTGGAAATAATTAGTGGAAGACCTCCATACTGCAAGGAGAAAGGATGCTTGGTAGAATGGGTAAGGAAAGTTATAAATTTTGATCAGTTACTGCTAGATCCCAGTAACTCCGAATGCATGAATTGTACATGGGTGGTGTCCCCTTGGCACCAATGCATTAATGTTATTCTACACTTTTATTTAAAAAAAAAAAAACTCTAAATGCATGAATCTTGTTAAATGATGTCATTTGCACAGTTTTGGTGCAAGAAACTTAAGGTACTTTTCGGTACTGCAGGCAAGGGAGTATCTTGAATTGCCAGATGTAATGTCTTATGTAGTTGATCCTGGGCTAAAACATTTCAAACACGAAGATCTCCAAGTTATCTGCGAGGTTGTGAACATCTGCATTGAGTCAGATCCTGCCAAGAGGCCTTCGATGCAGGAAATATGCAACATGTTGGAGAGTAAAATCGATTTGTCTGTAACTGCTGAGTTCAGATCATCTTCTTTGGCATGGGCTGAGCTTGCACTTTCATCATAATGGAGTTGAAGCTAACAACTTGTAAATCATATACGTACAATTCTAATGCTCTGTGTTCCCTTTCCTTGTTTTTCTTCTAGTAATTTTTTTTTTGGCTTCCAATTTTCTGTCCTTGTAAATGGTGCATGCTGAAGGAAGCATACTGCTCCAAGCATGATATCTACAGTGTATACCACCAAATGATGGGTACAAAGTCTGAACCTACAGAATAGTTAATATAAGTTCTTTACAAAATTTCCTCCAAAAAGGAAATTTTCTTTTCTGAGTGTCTACTGCTTTCTCATTTTTGGCCTCTGTTCTTTACAAAGTTGATTTAAATTTTGAAAAGTTAGTAATTTTTTTAATATTATTTATCAATTAGTTTTAAAAAAAATTCTTAAATTTATATATACGATAATGTAGATTTTTTTTGAGAGAAAAAATAAAAATATTAATTTATGATAAAAACTTAAAATGTGAATATAAAAAGCCTGTACAAAAAAATTGTTTTGAACTGTATCTATAGTTTATTCTGCCAACTTTAACATTAGTCAAATTTTATTTTTTGAAAATTATTAAGTTCATATGTAACAAATAGGCTTAATTTTTCATTCTGTTTTGAAATTGATTAGTCAACTCATTGTGCTAAATACTAACACAATTACCATGCATCATCAATTTATAATGATATAGCAGCTAAATTATCTGCTACTAGAAGAAATTTTATTAGATTAATTCTAGTCTTTATTTTATCTTTTTTGAAATGATCTTGATCTTTTAGTTAATTTTTCTTTAAAAAATTAAAAAATCAAATGTTAGAAAGTTTTATTTTTTATTTCTGAAAAAATAATTAGAAAAAAATTACAAAATGATGATAAACAAGAAATAGCACTATCGTTTGATGACTCACGAGAACTTTTAACAAAATACATAATGATGATAACTCGAGAATAAAATATAATTAACAAATTTAAATACAGAGATATTGGGAAATAGCAAGCCAAATGACTTAGGGGGCAAGTTTTATTGATTAAATTGAGTTGGTATACGAATCTATTTTTTCAAGTAAAAAGAAAAAACAAAAATTTGAAAAAATATATAAAAAATGAGAAAAATAAAAATATTCAAGAAAGCAAAAATACAAACAAAAGTTTATTATTGAAACTCGAACATCATAAAAGGATATAAGATTAGCAAAATGATAGTATAAAGTAAATATCACTCTTTCTCAAACTCTCTCGGGCAGAAGAAATTCTAGAGAGGGAGAGGAGACGACTTGATGCTGGTGAAGAGGAGATTTGTGGGTGAAGGGAGAGAGAGGAAGAACAACTTTTCGAACGTTGGAATGCATAATCGGCACTGCAGTTTTGTGCAATTTCAGTGTGTAGATATTTGAGTCCCTGAGCAAATTGACCAATAGCTAGCAACCTTGATGTGGTGATTTGACAATTCAAGCATGAGGTAAGCACAAATTTGATACATATTCAAAATTTTGATACATTTTTGTAATAGCCTAATAACTTGGCTGTATTCTCGTGATTCAATATTGCCAAATCTGCAACCTAAAGGAAACTTGACAGAGAAGTTCGGAACACCGATATGGCTGCTTGGATTTTGAATCCATATGTTTAGAGGAAAGAGAGTTTCTTGGTAGAATTCTATATAATTCTTCTATATGAAAATAAACCTCAAGAAAGCTTGTCAAGTGATCTTCTTTAATGCAGAGAGATAATGACAGCAATTTCAAGCCCTCGTACCTAAATGCATATTTTTATGTGTTTACAAAAACGACGTCATTGTTTTTGGTCTTGACATTGGGCTACCAAAACGACGCCACTTTAAAATTTCTTTCTATTTTATGAATTTTTCTTTTTCTCTCTTTTTTCTTCTCATTTTGCACTCAACAATAATAAGAAGAACAAATCTTTCAAAAATTAAAAAAATATAAAATTTATCTTAGACAAAATTAAGGTACTACAATTACTCTTTACCTTTTGCAAAAATGACCAAATAAATACAAGATTTATGGATTCTTTTATCATCATTTCTTTCTTTTTTTCATTTTTCACTTTTTTATTTAGTTATAATACCTTAATTTTGTCTAAGCTAAATTTCATATTTTTTAATTTTTTTAAAATTTTAAAGATTTTTTATTCTTATTATGGTTATTGTCATTATGTTAGGCAAAATAAGAAGAAAAAAGGAGAAAAAAAAAAGAAAAGAAAATAAAATAAAAAAATAATTAAAAAAGAGTGAATGAACAAAGAAAAAGAAGAGAAAAACAAAAACAAAAACTCAGCCCAATCTCATTATCCAAGCCCATTCAGCCCACCTTATGAAATAGCCCAATCTAACCATTCTCAATACCTTCAAATGACGTCGTTTTGGTAAACATATAAATATAGGGTTTACTGCGTTGCAGCCAAATAGAGAACAGGGGAGGGCCTTAGGTTCATCTTCCTCCTCCTTTCCAAAAGAGGCGTGAGCTGGCGTGGGGGATCACGAAGAAATCGCAACCTGCGCTGAAGATAACGTGTCAGACGAACCCGAACAGGAAGCTGAGCCTTGGAGCAGAAGACGAAATCACAGAAGAGGAATTTGGGAGAGACAAGTGAGACGTTTTTGGGAGGAGTTGCATTAAACAGTAAAGAAACGTGAAAGAATTGGAGAATCTAAGTTCGGTCAGGTAATGACTCCAGTGATACTTACTCTAATGATATAGTATATATATAGAGAACAATTATTATGATTATAATATATTTGACTCTTGTGAAAAGGCCTTCCTGGTTGTGATTTGGGGAGTGGATGGATCATGTGATGTTATTGGCATAGAAGGTGATAATCCTTCTAACATGATACAACTTAATGAACCAATGAATATATGTAGTGATTAGGAGGCTGCAGAACATAATTCAGAGTTTAATAAAGAAATTAAAATGACATTAAAGGATTATGGAGTGAGAAGTTTTGATTATTTTTTTTTTCAGTATAATGAGCTTAATATAGTCACTGTTGTGTACATAGATATATGTGAGTTCAGAAATACATGCATCAAAACTAAAGGATGAGGATGCTTTTTAAATTAAGACTTTAAAGCCTACACATTTTTGTTCTACATATTTTCACAACTCTAAGATAATCTTCATATGTTTTGTCTAGATGTGCGCCGGTATATATATTTCTAATTGATGTCGTAGTAAAGTTTTAAGTGTAATGCCTCATGATATTTTGTATGTAAAGGTTACTACGCTGCAAGGGATGTATAAGGCTATTATGGATCCTACTGCACTAAGGCTATTTCAAATCAAGTTTTAAATGTTTATGATACATGTCTTAACGTCCGTGCTCATTTGTGGGGGAGGGACGTTACAGGTTGGTGTCAAAGTACACGTTCTTAGGACCATCCTTTGTACATGAGAGACTTAAGACAAAAGAAATGAATTATATAATTGCAAAAGAAAGTTCATCCCTTTCTAAAAATCTAATTTTATGGTGTAGGAAGGCAGAAATGAGACACGGGACACCCCCAGTAGAGCGGCCTCCTACAGATGGCCCTAGTCGAGAGGAGTTTAATAGTCTCCTTCACCTGGTTGAGGGTTTAGTTGCTGCTGCTCCACCTAGAGAAGGACGACTAGATCCTCGTGATCCTCCCCAGAATAACCAGTCTCCAACAGGAATAGATGCCAGCAGTATCGAGAAGTTCAAGCGACTTAATCCTCCTACCTTTGCAGGCGGGGCCGATCATAGTGTCGCTGAGAGCTGGATTGATGCAACAGAAAAATATTCAAGGTGTTGGGAGTGACCACCAAGCAGAAGGTGATCTTAGCTACATTTATGTTAGAAGGAGAAGCAGTGAATTGGTGGGAACTGAAGCAGACCTCTCTAGCTACTCCCATCACGTGGGAACGCTTCCTAGAGGCGTTCAATGCCAAGTATTTTTTGAATTACATTCGTCACAAAAAAGAGGTAAAATTTCTGGAGCTCAGGCAATGAAACATGACAGTTACTGAATGTGTCAGAAGATTTATTGAGATGGGCAGGTACGTTCCGGTCCAATGAAGGGAAGAAGGCTAAGAAGTTCCAGCGAGGACTTCGACAGGACATACATGACAAGGTAGCAATATTTGATCTGTGCACCTACCGGGCTGTGTTAGGGAAGGGTCAAATAGTTGAAGGGCTCAGCAACAACCCAACACCATCGGCAGGAAGTTCTAGAGCATCTGTGCCCTATAAGAGACCGGTACCAGTACATGGTCAGCAGGACAAGAGGCAGAAAATGGTGCAGAATGCTTTCCCCAGGGGTCCAGCAGCAGGACAGGCACAAACATGCCCACATTGTGGAAGGAACTGCGGTACTCGACCTTGCTATTGCCTTAACAATGCCTGTTACAAGTGTTTGAGTTCTCAACACTTGATACAGGATTACCCATTGATCAAAGGACAAACCAGGCCAGCAGCATCAAGAAGAGTATTTGATATCACTGCACAGGATGCTGAGGCAACTCCAGATGTGATTCAGCGTAAGTATTCTATCTCAAAACACATTGCTAAGGTTATAATTGTCGCTGGATCTACACGCTCCTTTGTTACACACACTTTTGCACAATGCCTAAATGTTAATCCTGTTTCTTTAAATTGTACTCTATTACTATCCTCACCTGTAAGTGGTAACTTAATTTCTGATGTAGTGTATAAATTCTGTATAGTAGAAGTAGCAGGTAAGGAACTAGGAGTAGACCTAATATTATTAGACATTAAGGATTTTGATGTGATATTAGGAATGGATTGGCTAATAGCCCACCATGCAATTATCGATTGCTACCATAAGAAAATTGTATTCAATATTCCTAATAAAAAACCCTTTTCAGGTTGAAAACTAATTCATGTATAAGAACTATGTAGACATTTGGATGTTTAATGAGGCTTGAAGTTTAAATGTAGTTTCTTTATACTTCACGTAAATTGAAAATGTGAGTTTTTGTTATGAATTGTCATTTGGATTTACGTAAATTGAAAATGTGAAACTTTTTTGTTTTTGTGATGAAATTGTCATTTGGATTTTCTTTTGTTGATTATAAATTTTAAACCATATTGGACTTGGCATTTCCAGATGTTAGCTGGATTTTTCTACACTTGCTTTAATGTCATAGAGTTGTGTCATGAATGTTTACATCAGATTATATTTTTTAAATAAAAGTTA